AATAGATAGTAGCTCTTTAAGTTATAAAGAGGTGCAGTTGGAGCATTTGAGAGCTGCTCTTGCTAAACTTAATGACCTCAAGGCAGATGTGTAGGATCCCTTAGAGGAATTCAACTTAGGTAATGAGCCTTGTAAGAGGCCAATCTATAAATGTTAGTCTATCTAATGAAAGTAAAGGCAAACTAGTTGGTTTGCTGTATGAGTATGTGGGTTATTTTGCATGGAGTTATAAAGAAATGCCTAGTTTGGATGGAACATTAGTAGAACAAGTTACCAATAATGGAAAATTTCATTTCACAAAAACAACCTCCAAGAAGAATGGCTAATGAAGTTACTTTGTTAGTCAAATAGGAGATTGAGAGGTTATTAAATGGGGTTTTATTAGAGCAACCAAATATATTGAATGGTTGTCGAATATTGTATCTGTTATGAAGCAAAATGAAAAATTGAGAGTATGCATAGATTGTAGAAATTTAAATCTAGCAACTCCAAAGGATGAGTATCCTATGCCTGTGGCTGATTTGTTAGTTGATTCAACAGCCAAGAGCAATGTTTTATCCTTCATGGATGGTCATGCTAGGTATAACCAAATTTTTATTAACCTAGCAGACACCTATAAGACTGCTTTTGGATGCCCTAGAGCCTTAGGCACATTTGAATGGGTAGTGATGCCTTTTGGTTTGAAAAATACTGGAGTTATATACCAAAGAGCAATGAACTTCATATTCCATGATCTAATTAGAAAATTTTTGGAAGTTTACATTGATGATGTGGCAGTCAAATCTGAAACATTTGAAGAACATCTAAATCATTTAAGGCAAACATTTCAAAGAATATAAGAAGTCACAAGTTAAACATGAACCCGTTGAAATGTGCATTTGGGGTAACTGTAGGAAAGTTCTTAGGCTTTTTGGTGCATCACAAAGGTATAGAGGAAGATGCTAATAAAACCAAGGCTATCTTGGAGGCCAAACCCCCAAGTAATAAGAAGGAGTTACAGAGTTTTTTTGGATAAAATCAATTTCTTAAGAAGGTCATAGCAAATTTAGCCAAAATAACTCTAGTCTTTTCTCCTTTAGTATATATAAAGGCAAATGCTGAGTTTAGGTGGGAGGAATATCATCAAAAGGCTTTTGATTTGATCAAGAGCTACTTGGAAAACCTTTCAGTCCTTATGCCACCTATTTCAGGCAAGCCTTTAAAGCTTTACATTTCAGGATCTGACCTATTGATTGGCTGCCTATTGGCTCAAGAAAATGATATGGGCTATGAATAGACCATTTCTTATCTAAGTAAAAGGTTAAATGATGCTGAAACCAGATATGCTTTTATTGAAAAGTTATGTTTGGCTCCTTATTTTGCATCCATAAAACTTAGGCATTATATGTTGCCGTCAAAAATGTTTGTTATAGCACAAACTGGTGTGATAAAGTATATGCTTTCCAAGCCTATCTTAAGAGGTAGGCAAGGCAAATGGATATTGCCCTTAATTGAATATTGTTTCAAATATGTGCCATAGAAAACAGTAAAAGGGTAGTCTCTAGCAGATTTTCTAGTAGAGCATCCATGTTTACCTGTTGAACTAGATTTGTTCGAGGTTTATGTGGTAAAAGTTGAACATTGGAGGCTGATGGTTGATGGGTCAAGAACAAATGAAGGAGTTGGTGCAGACATTGCCCTGATTTCACCTAGAAAACATATGTACCAATTTGTTTATCAACTAGATGAGCAACATGTACAATCTTGTAATCAAGTTGAGTATGAATCTTTAATAATTGGCCCTGAGTTGGCCATAAAATTCAAGATTAGAAAATTACAAGTGTTTGGTGATTTAGAGTTAGTCATCAAGCAAATTGAGGGAGAGTTCAAGTGTGTAAATAAAACTCGAGAAGAATATCTAACTGAAGTAAAATGGTTAATAAGTTTCTTTGACCATATATCATTTACACACATGTATGGTGTAGTGACCCTAATTTTTTTAATTACCATTAAATCCCTAACCTTGAGTTTATTTCAATAAAGCCCCTGAATTTTCGCTTAATTGTGTTTTAAACCCTAGAATTGGGAAGTATCGCGGATTAATTCGAGTAAACCCTAATTGATCCCATGGATTAATAATCACCTTTAAAACCCTATTATTAATTATTAGACCCTATAATTACAGATTAATCACCTTAAAAATCTTAACTCCCAGTAATGCCGTTTTTGCTCAGTTTCTCGCTCTTGTTTGCGCTTTAATTTAACAGAACCCAAATTTATTATTTTAACTATTTTCTAATGTTAGTATATTGTATACTAAATATCAAGGTTTCATAAATTTAGACTTGGTCCCTATATATTTTTATTTTATTTCATTCCAAACCTTAATTATAGTACTTTCTTAATTAATTTACTTATGCCTATTATTTTATGTTTATAAATACAAATATCTTATAGAAATATATATATATATATATATATGTATATTTCTTGGAGCCAAAGTAGTTGACCATGTGATGGATGAAAGGGCCTTAACGGTAACGTTGACAAATTACACTTACAAAACTTGGCGCCTAAGAAACCTCCAAATCCTTTCTCTATATATATATGCATACTTCTCCCCCTCATTTTACATATTTTCAGCCATGCACAAGAGGAGAGAGAGAGAGTGATCTTGGAAAAAAAGAGAGAGAGGGGGAGAGAGAGAGAGAGAGAGAGAGAGAAGAGAAGAAGAAAAAGAAGAATTGTGTTGAGTCTTGTACAACAAAGGTAAACATACATCACCTCTTCTCTCAAGTTCTTTTACCACTTGTTTTTCCCCTCTTAATACATGCTATTTGTATATATATGTTGTCGTCTAGGCCTACACTCTTGTATAAATGTGGATTAATCAAGAAATTGTATGCTTCTTTTTCTTTCTTAAATTTTCAACAGCTAATCTTTTCCCTCTCTTGAATTTATTTTCCTATCAAAACTCCATAAACTCGAAATCTGTTTCTATGGTGTAATATTTGGTGTGTCTAGAGTATGTGATAATTTTGGTAGGACCTAAGGATGTATTTTTATAACCTAAACAATTTTTCTAAGTTTGTTACTCACAGAACTAGAAAAATAGTCAACTTTCTCTATTTTTATAAAATTCCAGAAAAATAATCTTGAGTCCACTTTTATATAAAAATCTTAATCTTGGTGTTATATTTTAAATAAAATTTTTTTGAACTCAAGAGAGTGAGGGGTTCGAGAGAAAAATCGATTTGTGTAACGGTCAATGAATCTGGATAGATCTTGGTAATTCTGAATTATCTTAAAATCTAAAATACCTATCCTAATTTCGTAAATTGAGTTTGAAACTAGACTTGTTTATCTACAAACTCACATGAGGCCAGGTATTTAGGGTCAATAAAATTATTTTTTTTTCATAATTATTTTCAAACTGGTTCAAATCTGGAAATTTGTGTTTATATGCTCTTATTTGGTTTGCAACTCTTATATTTTATGTTTCTTGAATGTTTTAGTCTCGATATGTAATCTATGATAAATTGTGAATTTGCTTTACCATGAATAAATTACTTTTTGTTTAGTTTGGATTCGTAATTATACTGACCGTGCTTTGTTATAACTGAGAACATAATGCACTTAATAAAAGGGAAATCAAATGGGATGGTAATGGGTTGCGATCATTGTATTAAATTTTATGAGATAATGAACGATGGATTCGAGAGTATGATATAGTGGAATGTGTTCCATTTTTGTGAAGTCTTGCGCAAGTGTGTTTTCGAACCCTAACATGGCACGGGAGGTATTTTGGCTGCTTAACGAAAATTGGAGGCATAAGGGTGGCAGTGAGGGTCTCACACAGGGAGAGTATCCCTGGAACCCCGTTCCCTTGGGGCAGACCGTGATGTCATCACTTGGGTATGTAACCTAGGTGCGTGGGCACCATTGATAATTGTGCGATAAGCGACGCACTGGTGGTTATGCGGTAAGCGACACATTGGTATTGTATTAACCAAGGGGGAGTCAGAATTGCCCGTGGCCACTGTTAGTGGTTGGGTAAGAACGGCATTCTGCGGGTAGTTGCCTAGAATTAACTAAAATTGACTATTCATGAGAACTGAATTTAATTATAAGCTCTACTTAATAATTGCTTTCGCTGTATGTTATGATCGTGCCGTTATGTTACTTGTGTATTTGGAATGGAAAAAGGGTTGGGGTGTGTGTGTTTACTGGGCATTTCAAGCTCATGGTGTTTTATGCCAGATGAAGGCGAGTTTTACACTGAGAACAGAATCCCTGAAAGCTTTGCAGAACCATGGCTGCCTTAGAGATTAGATTGTATATTTCCTGTATTTGAGATAATCTTTTTGTATCAAGAAACTGATCTGTATTTAAAGACTTGAAGAATTTTACCTGTAACTATTATTAATATTTTCTTTTAGTATAATTATTTGTGTTTTGTGCTTAAAAATGATGTGTATCCGCTAGTTAAACCCCGGTGTACCGTTGTATTATATTATCAAAATTTGGGGTGTCACATATAGATTAGAGAATAAAGAAGCCAATGAGATGGCTCAAGCAGCATCAGGATTGAAGATTCCTAAAGGGGCTCAAGAAAGAATAATAAGAATTCAAAAGAGGAATTCCTTGACCTGTAGGGATAGACATAGGAAATTCTTACCAGTAATGGCCTTTGAAGTATCTAAATATGATTAGAGATTCCTTTTGAAAATGATTGGAGATTCCCTTTTATAATACTTGTCTAATCCTAATGAAGGATCTGACAGGCAAGTAAGGTACCAAGCTCTAAATTATGTCATCACGGGTGATGATTATTTAGAAAGGCACATGATGGGTTGACATTGTTGTGTATTGGCTATGAAGACCAAATGAAGGCAATGGCTATAGAGCCCATCAAACTGGGGATAAAATGAGGTGGTTGATTAAGAGGTATGGCTATTTTTTGCTAGCTATAAGAAATGATTGCATTACATATTCTAAAGGATGTCAAAGTTGCCAAAAACATGGCAATGTCCAAAGGGTCCCATGTCCAAAGGGTTCCAACTGTAAGTTTGAATTCAATATTGAGACCATGGCCTTTTAGGGGTTGGGCAATGGATTTGATAGGCCACATTTTCCCACCTTCTTTGAAGGCACATTCATATTTGTTGGTGGTGGAAGCAATTCCATCAAAAGTTTTCACACAGACTCAAGTTATTGAGTTCCTTAAAAAGAATGTGATCCATAGGTTTTGTTTGTCATATTCCATTATTGTCGATCAAGGGACTATGTTCAATGGGGATGAAATAAGAGGGTTTGCCATAGAGCATGGCATTCAAATATTAAATTCTTCTCCCTATTATGCCCAAGCAAATGGGCAAGCTGAGGCAACAAACAAAATTATAAAGAATACTTTAAAGAGAGTGATTGAAGACAATCCAAGGGATTGGCACAATTTGCTATCTGAAGTGTTATGGGCTTATAGAAACTCTAGGAGAAATAGTACAGGGACAACTCTATATGAGTTGGTGTACGGACATGATGTTGTACTCCCCTTACAAATCATTGTAAGATCCAATCGACTCGCTCAACAGTTGGACACCCTAATGGATGAATAAAATGAAGCCATGTCAATTGAATTACAAGAATAGAAGAAAAGAGAATCTATGCTTTTAATCATTTGATAGCTCAAAAAAGGAAAGTAAAAAGGAGCTATAATAAGAAAGAAAAGTATAAAGTGTTCTCTGAAGGAGATTTAGTTTGGAAGACTATTTTACCTCTTAGAACAAAGAATCCATAGTATGGAAAATGATCTCCTAATTGGGAAAGGCCATTCAAAAATTTTAAAGTCCTTAAAAGAGGAGCATATCATCTTGCATCCTGAAAAGGAGAACCACATAGAAGAGTAATTAATAGAAAATACTTGAAGAAGTATTATCCAACTATGTGGAAAATCATGGGATAAAAGTCAAGTATAAAAGACAAACACATAGGCCATGTTATTTTGGGCCTTTTAAGAAGAGCCCATTTGTTTTTAATTAAGTCATTACCACTGTTAGGCTATTGAAGTATGTCATTTTCAGTGAATATTCATTCAAGGCAAAACATAGTTTTACCTTAAATGAGAGGGGTATTGTTGGCACCAAAATTTAAATCCTTAGTCGACAAGAGCATGGGCGTAATTAATAACGGTTTGAGAATCGTGAGCATGAAGATAGTGGTCTGAAAGCAAAGAACAAAGACAAGACACGCGACAGTTCCAAGAGAAAAGGAAGTTGAAGGCAGTTGCATATCATGAACAAGTGGAAGTTACCAGTCAATAGACATGTGACAACATGGCATGGCTAGTGAAGCCACATACGAGCTAGGAATTCGAAGAGAGAAGGACCTTCAACCAAATTCACAATACTTGTGAAATTTAGGAGTGGTGTAACTTATTTAGGAGTAGTTCTGTAACTTAGGAGTAGATTAACAATAATTTCAGTGCTTGTAAGTCAATTTGAACCTGTCGATTGTAATGCTATGAAACTTGTAATTTAATTATTATAATTAAGTGACAAGTTAAAGAATTATTAATCACATTTCTAATTTGTTCATCTTTATTTTTTTATATTACAACCTCTAAAGAAATCCCTAAATCTATCAAGGCATAGAATGCCAATCACATTGCTTGATTAATATGCTAATTATGAAAATCAAATTTCCCTATCAAATCACCTCTGCGGATTTGACCTAAATTTAATATTTGCTAACAAGTAACTAAGATTCTTTTGTAATTTCACCAAAAAGAAAAGAACAAAAGGTATTACACGCGCTCTTCTTGCGTGTGGCCAAATGTTTCTCCTAACAAGAAGAAGAAGCCATCTTTGCCACGCACAAAATTGAGGGTTTGAGCCTGGAACATAAAAAAAAACACACAAAAAATAATAATAATTTATTTGGAAGCGGAATAGCCCATCAGTTTCTTTTTGCATATATGAATCCACAAAGAAACACAACCTCACGATCGTTACACAATCTCCATCAACTTCTATAGCTGTAAGTTCATATTATTGACTCTGTGTGTGTGTGTGTTCTTGTTGTCTATGCTATTAAAGTTAGCACAATTCATCTTTTGGGTATTTTGAATTATATAGCTGTACAGACAATTAAAAACCCATCTCCATCTGATCTGTAAACTGGGTTTTTGTTTGTTGGTTTTCAATTTTTTGAATGAAATAGATGAGAAAGCTGTTTGGAAGCTATTTGTACATGGGGTTTTAAGCTTTTGGTGCTTTCCTATTAAGTTGCATAGAAGTTACACCCTTTAAAAGTTTGTAACTTTGTCAATAGATTGATTGCTTCGAATTGGGATTTCACTCCACATGAATGTTATGATGTTTCTCACAACATTGAAGTAATGGTGGGTTACCTTAATTAGTGTATTTTGAGGATCTCAATATATTATTATTATTATTGTGGTGACAAAACAAGGAAGATGCAGAGGGTACGAATTTCATCGCACCAGGCACCAGTGCACAAGTTAGGGGATTCCCAAATGACATTATCCCCAAAATTTAAGCTAGCTGCAATCCAATCTTCTCTATTGCATCCTTGTTTGGACTTGGAACTATATCAGAAAGGAAAGCTCCTAATTCCAGGTCTTCCGGATGATATAGCTCTCAATTGCCTCCTCCGCGTTCCTGTCCTGAGACATCCACCTTGCAGAGTCGTCTGTAAGCGTTGGTATCTCTTGTTTAGCAGTAAGGACCGGTTCTTCACCCTGAGAAAGGAACTTGGATTCCGTGTTCCTTGGCTCTTCGTCTTTGCCTTCCACAAATGTACCGGTAAGATTCAGTGGCAGGTTCTTGACCTTACCCATTTGTCTTGGCATGCCCTCCCTCCAATGCCTTGCAAGGACAAGGTTTGTCCCCATGGATTTAGGTGCATTTCAATCCCGAGTGAGGGCACTCTCTTTGTTTGTGGTGGCATGGTCTCTGATGTCGATTGCCCCCTCAACATGGTATTGAAATATGAAATGGAAAAGAACCATTGGACTGTGATGAAAAAGATGAACACTGCACGTGCGTTTTTCTCAAGTGGCATAATTGATGGGTTAATTTATGTGGCCGGAGGAAACAGCACGGATCTGTTTGAGCTTAACTCGGCTGAGGTCATGGATCCTGACAAAGGGATTTGGAGCCCAATTGCAAACATGGGAACAAACATGGCCTCGTATGATTCGGCAGTTTTGAATGGGAAGCTCCTCGTGACAGAAGGCTGGTTTTGGCCCTTTTATGTTGCACCCAGAGGTCAGGTTTATGACCCAAAAACTGATAATTGGGAAAGTATGGCTTCTGGGCTGAGAGAAGGCTGGACTGGTTCGAGTATTGTAGTTTTTGGGCACTTGTTTGTGGTCTCAGAGCACGAAAGCACCAAGCTCAAGGTTTATGACACAGATACTGATTCTTGGGACCCCGTACAAGGACCTCCTTTACCAGCACAGATATGCAAACCTTTCTCAGTAAATTGCACTGATAGCAGGATCTTTGTTGTGGGTCGTAACCTTCATGTTGCCGTGGGTGATATCTCCAGGCTGAATCCAGGAAGCAAATCTGAGAAAAAGTGGAGCTTCTCTGTTCGATGGCAAGTGGTGGATGCACCAGAGGCCTTCTCTGACTTGACACCCTCAAGTGCACAGGTTCTCATTGCTTAACTCGGTTTTATTATGGTGATATTATGTTTTGGTGATTGTTGCTTAAGTGGTAATTATACAAGTGTGTTCATTTGTAGAGTTATATGATAATGTATGAAAGGCTTTTAAAGTTTTTGGATCGCAATGTGTCGTTTAGCTATAGAGCTTTTCTTTTGCGTCTACATTGACTACTCAAATGTACGAGGACAACAATACCAATCCTGATTTAATGCTCCACTGGTTAAACCTTGTTCAGCTTTTGATAAAAATGTAACATGTCAGTATTTCATTGATGATGCTACTAGTAATGATAAAACTGCGGACTCAATGTTGCTACAGAATATTGAATCACTTTTCAACTAGCTAGATGAACTGTTGATTACGTAGGCCGTTGTTGATATATGTGATGGCTTACCAGCTGTAAAATAAAGTTAGTACATTACCTGAACCTTTTGCTGGGCATTCTAGAATCCATCTGTTTAAATTTCTGTGAGGAGTTTTAAAAACTGATTGTGTATCACTGTGTGGGAGAATAAACTGAGAAACAAACAAAACAATAATAGCAAATGATCTTGCTAATTTTTTCACTATGTTTGCAGGGACAAGGCCTATTTAGTTGAGGTTTTAGCTACTGTGTGTGTAAAACCCGTGTTTAAAGATTAGGAGCTCTTCTAGTTAGTTGAGAAACCTATGTCTCGGCTTTTTCTTTCCTTTTTCCCCTTTTACTAGCAGATCGGAAATTATTTTTTATTTTTTGATTTGTGACCTTTGCTTCCAATTCGAAGTTTCCATGGGACCATTCTATATGACAAAAAAAGTCATCATGTTGCTTGATTGTTTTCAATATTGGCAGGTTCTTAGGTGTTTAGTGTTTAGTTATAACTTGTAAGAACTTATATGTAGAAAAGCCCCCCCCATTGGATCATGTGTAATTTTGTGATTAAGGACAAATAAAAGTCCAATTTATGATTAATGAAACAAGTACACTAATGATGTCAAAATAAGCTCTGTTTGTAGTCTGAAATGAAGAAAGGTCAAGACCGCCGAGCCTATAATTCTGCTGTATGATGCAGGCATCAGACTTATTTGGTGAATTTTTTTTTTTTAATTAACAAGAAGAAAAAAGAGAAACCTTTTTTTTTTTCCCCATATACTCTGCTTATACAAACTACGGCAAATATTTTCATCCAACTGCTAATCAAGACCCCCTAACACGATCCCCTTTTTGCCTTCTATGAGGACCAGTAAGAGAGTCGATGTCTTGTGTTCATTCCTGTCTGGGACGATTTTGGATTACTATTTGTTAGATTTTGCTAATTATTATTATAAGAATAAAAGCATCATGATTATAGGCAATAGTCACATACCAAGCAAAGGAATGTGTTTTGAGATAGGAATTGTTACTATTGATGATTTTAAGAAAATCATGGCGTGTTAATGAGCTCTAGATTTGGATATAATTCCTGAAGCATATTTCATTATTTTACCATTGTTTGATGTCATTGAATCTTATGGTTCTTGATTTGATACCTAATCTTCAATATTTTTATTCCTCTATTGAGGATTATCCCCAAAATGAAACCTCAAGTCTTACTCATGCTGATTATATAATAAATATCAATCAATGAATAAATTTGACAAAAAATGTCTAGTAATAAATCAGTGTTTTATTATCAAAACATTGTATTCATGTGCTCCTTAAATTGGTATATCATAAACCAGTTGGACAAGTTCGTACCTAATACTTAATAGAATATATGTACATATCATAGATAGCCAAGGGTAGATTTTATAGTATATAATACAAATTTTCTAGCTGGAAGATACATCCCATGGTTGTGGCCTCCTAATTTGATAGGATAACAACCAAGTTGGAGGTTTATTTTTTTTACTGCTCACCAACTTGTTGTTGGAGGTTGATTATTATTATTATTTTAAATTAGTTGGTTGATTTGTTGAGCGGGCAAAGTAGTAAATTTCTGTTACGACTAGTTCACAAGGGAGACTGGTTTCTAATTGCTGCAAAAATTAGGTACACACGATTGCATTTGTGTCTATGAAAACGAACTTGACACTGTATTTGATTGATAGATTTGAAAAGAGATTTAGAAAGAAAAAAAGAAAAGGTAGGTAAAATGTGAATAAAATATGAGTGCTGTTATTAGCATCCCATCAATTATTTTGAACATTTTCTTTTTTATTATTTTAATTACAGTAATAATCTCAAATGAAATTACTAAAAATGATATCAAATAATTTTGAGATATCCTATCTTACAATTAAGCCTATACATCCACTACATCATGAGTTAGGGTTTATGAGAGCATACACCTCCATTACCATCCATCTATCTTCTCTAAATCCCATCTTCAAAATTTACCTATCCTCAAAATCTTGAAAACCCTTTAGCGGTAATATTCCGGTTGTAATGGTGATAGCTATTTTGATTATCTATACTTCTCCGGCAATGATAATAAGTGAAAGTTTTTTCGGCATCCACAACTCTATGAGACGAGAGGAGTACAACAATAAAAACTCAGAAGAGGTTCATAACTTTGATTGTATTCTTAGCTCCGAGGATATCGGCTTTGTAAGAGTAAGTTTCATAAATTAAAAAAAAAAAAAAAAAAAAAAAAAAAAAAAAAAAAGAAGCAAAAATAATAAAAACGGTTCGTTATTTTTTCAGGATTGAACTCCCGAACATATGACCAAAATTTGGGAACACATGCCCGAATATTGTTTATTTGTTTGGAAACAGATAACCAAATATTTTTTATTTGTTCGGAAACAGATAATCGAAACTCATAGAGATCGCAGAACCCACAAATTTTTTTTTTGAATTAACAATAAAAAATCTTACATTTATTTTTTCAGGTTATGAACAAATATGTGGAGATAGAATAGTAATCACCTTTGTGAGTTTGGTTAAGATTTTTGGGAGAGACTTTTTGGGGTACGGGGGTGTGCATTCAATTAAATAGGTGAAATATTTTCACAAGGGTCATTTTGATATTATTTACAGGGAGAATTTTTTTTAAGGATTTTAGAATTTATAAATAGGGTCCAAAAAAATCAGAGGTCTAAAATAATTAATGAAATGCAACATTTATAAAATATATTTATACTTCAACCAATTCCACGTGTCTTTTTCCAATTGCTTTCTAAACTTCTGCTCAAATTCACAACCAAACAGCGTGAATGTTATTTTCTTTGTTGTTGCTGTTCAAGTGACATCTTCGAAGCAAACGAAGAAGCCAGAGTGCTTTGTCTTCTTATTTTTTTTATTTTATAAAATTTATTTATAGTTACGATTTTAAAATTTAATTTTTCTTTTCAAATTATAATTTAGATGAAACAGGCTAATTAAACATATTTTTAAAATACAATTTAAAACTCTTATCTTCTCTTTTTTATTATTATTATTATAATTCAATCAATCAATTACTTTTTTTTCCTCTTATCGCTCCTCTCACATTTTTTCACATTTTATAGATCTATCAATAAAATAAAAAAAATACAAATTATTTGAAAATAATTTTCAAAACTCATAACCATACAAATTTTTTTTTTTCAAATTACGATTCAAAAACTCAAAACTTAAAATACAATTCCACATTCAAATCATAATTTTAAAACTAAACCAAATGGACACAAGTTTCCTATTTTGATTGTTGCAATAGATTTTTTTTTTCCTTATTTTATTTTTTATATACAAAATTACATTGATGAAAGTGGAATTGGGGTTGCTACTGTGCAGAAGCAATTATTGTGAGTCGAAATAGGCCCATTTCGGGATTCATTTTGATAATCTGAACCGTTCACATTTTAGAATACATCAAGTAGAACATACTTGCAAAAAATCAAGTTAATCGGACATCGTTTACCTATTCATCCACTCACATTTGTATCTACAAAAATAAATAATAATTGTGATTTAAAATATTAAAATGAATATAAATGTGAGTGGATGAATAGGTAAACAATGTCTAATTAACTTTACTTTTTGCATATATATTCTACTTGGTATATTCTAAAATATGAACGATTCGAATTATAGAAATAAACCCTGAAATGAGCCCATTTCGACGCACAACAGTCAGTAACAACCCCAATTCCGTTGAAAGTGATATACTATCAGGCAATAAATAAATACCTTAGTCTTTTGTTGACTGCAATGTGGGACGCTGAGAGAGACAAAAGAGAGAAAAGACATCACCCAAGTTACATTCACATTCATATTCATATCCACATTCACATTTACGTTCATTGTTATGGAAAGTTTATGTGAATGAGATTAATGTGGTCTTGAATATTATGAAATGGGTCCCAACTACTTCCAACTTCCAAAAGGGTTTAATGCAATTAGGTTTGGTTTAAAATGCACGCATCTTAACAATCAATTTTTTTTTTGGGTAAGTTGTTGTTTAAGAATAGATTATTTTATTAATTTTTCAATTTTTTGATAAAAATATGAGATAAAAAAATTAATATGTTTGGGATATTTTTTAATTTTTAACGAAAAGATATGTAAAAAATAGAGTGAAAATAATTTTTTTTGACTTTTTTTTTTGTTGTATAATTTGTTAAATTTTTGACTTTTTTTTTTTTTAATGATTTTTTGATTTTTAAACTAAATGTGATATTGTCAACCGAGACCTAACTAAATATGCTTTTAATTACCTAATTATTGAAAGATGAAATATTCCTTATCTGTATTATGTACTACCACAGCAATTGCTAAAAAGATGTTGGGACAAATACTAGAACCTGCTATTATGAAAGGGAATAAGATTGGATTCTCTACGATAATATCTTTGCAATAATTAATAGTATCACAAGAATGATTGTATTTCAAGATTAAAATTACACCATTACTGTTAAACTATCATACATTATTATTAGAGGATATTATAACATATAAAAGTTTTAGAAACTAAAATGTTTTAGTTTTTACAAGTAAAAATCTTGTTGCAAAAGGCATTTAGGGGCAAATTTTTATCGTCATGGGATAGTAGCTAAAAGGTCATCTCGAAAAGTTAAAAACAAGATTTTTAGTGACAAAATTTTATAAATGTCACTAATAAATAGAGTTTTAGGGACAATAATTTGGTCTGAAAATAGTTTATTTTTTGAGACAAAAAATTTGATCCCAAAAAGATAATAATTCATCACTAATGTCTAATTTTCGTTGCTAAAAATATAATGATGATACTTTTCGCAATAAAAATATTTGATCTCTAAAAAATAATTTTGTCCCTAAATTTTGGTCTCTAAAACCTTAATTTTTTGTAGTGGGAAATATCATTTTGTCCTCCAAACTTTCGCTCGTCTTTTAATTTGACACCTAAACTTTAATTAATTTCAATTTTACACCAAAACTTTCGAAATTTTAATCAATTTGGCCCTCGCAGTCACATTCTATCTACAATTAAACGAAATGTGTTGACA